AAATAGTTATAGAAATTTGGACGGCCAATGCCCTCGCCCCTCTTTGCTTGCTGTGGTCAGTTCCTCTGAAAATATTAGGTTATCAGTTGCTTCAATTTGTCTTTCTCCCAGTGTGGTTACTTTTCTTGCAATGTTCTAGATTCCTGTCAACCTCAAGAACTACCTTATTGTTTACCCAGGCTGTGAAAGAAGCTTTGCTTGTATGTGAGACCAAGAACACAGTAGTGACTACCTAATATATTATGGCTATTAAATGGTGTATTTTTGACTTCATGAAACACTGAAATAATTGGAATGATGAGATCTAAGTGGAGTTAGGATAATGGGCAGCATATAGATATTTCTTATCTTCATGTAATACTTAAATTTGTACTACTGTAGAAATTGTACAAAAATTGTAGTATATAAACCATTCACTCATGTATTTGTTGTTGTAGCACATAATCCAGTCATTCACATAGAATTCATTTAAATATATTACAAATGAAACCAGCACTATAATGAAGAAAAAGTTTTTAAAAAATCAAGGAAATTATGCCTTGAAATTCTTCTGACAAAGCATTTGAACATTAATTGTGTGGTGTGGTTTGAAATTTCTAGAATTGCATATAGTAGATGCGTAGCTCCCTTACCTACTCAGAGATAATAAAATGAACTTCCATTTTTGCTTTATATATCTCTAAATTTTCAGAGATGCTTATTTTATTTCTGCTTTTGCTTTCTCTAATTGTCATTATTGTGTCCCTCTAAATACAACTATTGCTTACACAACCATGATGTCTTGCTGATACAGGGCATCACTTAAATAGCATGGGTACTGCTGGAATTTGTCAAAAATGTTAGTTCTTTGTCTTCTTTTGTGTTGTTACCTTTATCAATTTCCAAACTAACATTAATCTATAGTAGGAGTGGGTTGTAGGAGAAGGGTAAAGAAATTTAAGGTTATCTAGTCACATTTTTTATGAGAGACAGAAAAATTAGAATGTAATTTACATATGTTAAGATATGTATGTAGGCATATTTTCCCTGGATATCTGAGTTAAATGTACCATGCTTCCATAAGACTAAGCAGTGATTATTTATATCCATATTTAGTAGCTAAATTTCTGTACTGTTCATTCAAAGAATTAAACTCAGCATTTTCAAAGAAAACTCTTAATTTTAAATATAATAAAGTTTCAAGTGGTAAATGTGAGGGTTGAAATCAAAATCTGGAGATTGATGTTACTTAAACATGCATGTTCATATCCTGGTAGAAGCAGAGATGAGTTCATTATACAGTATTTGAACACTGAATTAAAGACATACTAGAATATATTATCAAATATAAACTGTTTTGTTCACTGATGTACCTTCTGTGTCTAGAACTGTGCTTGACATAAAAAATCACTTAATAAATATTTGTTGAATAAGTGACTAAACCTCCATGAATTCATTTCATCTCAAACTCTTTATTAACTAGAGGGTGAATATTCCTTCTAGGTTGGCAACATATATGTTCACTTAAGCTTTAGAAATGGTAGTTTTTTCTCAATATTTCTTCCCCATTTTTAAAACCACTGAATGAATTTCCAGTTATGAAACACATTTTAAAATGTTTTTTATGATGACGGTATTGTGGAAGACAGTGTGGCAATTCCTCAAGGATCTGGAACTAGAAATACCATTTGAACCAGCCATCCCATTACTGGGTATATACCCAAAGGATTATAAATCATGCTGCTATAAAGACACACACACACGTATGTTTATTGTGGCACTATTCACAATAACAAAGACTTGGAACCAACCCAAATGTCCATCAATGATAGACTGGATTAAGAAAATGTGGCACATGTACACCATGGAATACTGTGCAACCATAAAAAAGCATGAGTTCATATGCTTTGTAAGGACATGGATGAAACTGGAAACCATCATTCTGAGCAAACTATCACAAGGACAGAAAACCAAACACCACATGTTGTCACTCATAGGTGGGAATTGAACAATGAGAACACTTGGACACAGGGTGGGGAACATCAGACTCTGGGGCCTGTCATGGGGTCGGGGTGGGGGGAGGGATAGCATTAGGAGATATACCCAATGTAAATGACGAGTTAATGGGTGCAGCACACCAACATGGCCCATGTATACATGTGTAACAAACCTGCACGTTGTGCACATGTACCCTAGAACTTAAAGTATAATAAAAAATAAATAAATAAAAAATAGAGTAGAACAGATTTAGAATGGATTGGGAGAGGGTGACTTCTTGGAACTAGATTGCTCTGTTAATTGTTTCTGTTGTGTAGAAATATTGCAGCATGCATGCAATGGTTTTATGTCTTTATTTTGTTTTTCTTTTCTTTTTTTTTTTTTTTTTTTTGGAGGGTTGTTATCCAGGAATTCAAGGTTGTTTTATCTTACTTTTTTAAATTTAACTTTTATTCTGAGTTCAGGGGTACATTTGCAGGTTTATATAAGTAAACTTGTGTCATGGGGGTTTGTTGTACAGATGATTTCATCACCCAGGTATTAAGCCTAGTACCCATTAGTTATTTTTCCGGATCCTCTCCCTCCTCCCATCTTCCAACCTCCAGTAGGCCCCAGTGTGTGTTGTTCCCCTGTATATGTCCATGAGTTCTCATCATTTAACTCCCACTTATAAGTGAGAATATCCTGCAATGTTTTTAAAAACAGTCTGTAGTATTCTTCTGCCAGTTGTAATAATGTGTAATACCTAAGGGTAAGATAAGAGCAGAGCTCTAGTTTTAATTCCAATTGTCACTGCCCCATTTTTATGTCTGTTTATGTTTGCATGACATTTATAAAATCACATAAACATCCAAAACTTCTTATATATGCTAGATTCACAGCATATAGAACACATATATGTGTGCATATTAGTTAGTAGTATCAATGGGGTATTTTTAATCTCACCTTCATAACAGAGTATAAAACCAAAAATTCCCAAGACTGAATTTTGAGCAAGCTTTTATATTATGTAATCCCAATGCACATCATTGTACAAATGATGCTAAAAATACTATACCACAGGCAACAGTGTTTTTGTGTTGTTTACTAGGATAAAGAATGTCTTCAGCTCTAGCATTACTCACTATCATAACTAACGTATTTTATATATGATACCAAATGCTCAACACAGGAAAGTTGTTGGATTCATAACATATATTTTCAAATTTTGTGATAAAAATTAATGAGATGTTTAAAGTCTACTCCCGACCCAAACTATCTCAATTGTTGCAACAGATGCATTTATTTGATTATTGATTATAAATAGGAAGATTTCTTTTTTTCCAATTCTGTGTCTTCCAACATTGGCATATGCATATTTTTTTAAATACAGATGTGCAGCTATGCAATGGGACAGTTATTTCATATAACATGTTGCTTGGCATAATCAGAGCACAATATCCATAACAACTTATTTATATCCTGTAGTCCTCCTGTTTTTAGAACAATTACTAAAACTTGTTGTTGTTATCAAATACCAATAAATATTGAGAAATTCCTTAATTGGATACATATATGCATTAATACATTTCTGGAATGGAATTTTAAGTAACCATCTGACCACTGAGTTTTCAAAACTGCTAAATACCTTAATAGTTGGATTGTTTCATTTAGTTATAAAAGTATAACATCTGATAGGCTTTAGCTCAGTGTGATACAAATTTAATTCTGTTTACATATCATTTACAAATACCATCCAGAAGAAGCACATTAGAATGTTTAATTATACTAGAGATTAAAAGATATTTAATATATAAACTTGAGAAGATATTAAATAAAATAGAGAATAAGAATTGAGAATTACGAAAGGAAACTGAAGAAAAAATTTGCAGATTTTAAGAAAATCAAAATTCCCCTTTGAATTTTGTCAGAAGAGTTGAAGAACTGAAATAATTTTAAAGCTTTCAGTGAGTGAAAAATGATAGGGAGAAGTAGCAAGAGAGATTGATTTTTGACTCACTTTCAACTCGGTACTGTTTTTAAATGCCTTTCTTATTTTCAAGCCCTACTCAAGCTCTTCCTTGAAGTTGTGTAATTCCTGTTAGTCTGTAGATGTGAAAACCCATTTTTATATGAACTACCTTCTGCGTTCTATAAACATAAATTCTCAGAGTTGGGATGTCTTCTAGTCTAACTCTCCCATTGAATGTTTGGACGTCATCTACCATATCTATATATCTAAAGCAAATATAGTAGATCTAATCTGGTGGTGTAGTACCTCCAAAGATATGGAATACACTCCTGAAATATCCTGAAATTTTTTTTTTTTCAGAATCCTTTAATAAGCAGTTATGTCAATCTGAAAGTCGCTTACCTGTACTTTATATTAATAGCTATTCTTGTTTTTCTTATCCAAAGGAAAAACCTCTAATCCCCTTTGCACATGATAGTTGTTACAATGTTTAGGCATTTGTCACATCAACACCTCTCCTCTCCCAAACTTCTCTTCTTCAAATCAAACTTTCTTAGTCCCTCCTTTATAATAATTATTTGTCTCCTTTTATCCAGATCAATTTTTTTTCACTTTGATGCCCAGAGCTGAAGAAATGGACTATTGTATAAATTATTCATTGCCAAGAGAATAATTGCATTTTAAACCCATATTATAACAAAGAATAAAGATTATATTTTGTGATTTGTAACAAATACTCGTTATTTTCCCTTAACTGTTGAATTAAATACTTTATTTGTATTCTCTATCTTGGTATATTAAAGTATTATCTTTTATATATTTATCAATGGTGGACACTTTTATAGGTATTCTGTGTCATTTTTTATACTTATTTATCTTATTTCATTTATCTTTATTCTTACTGTACAAATTCATAATATTTGATTCAAAACAAATTTATCACTAACAGAGTCTCAATTATGCTAACATCTCATTTAGTGATTTTAATTTAAAACAACTGTTGTTAACATGCATGTTTAGGGTTGACTTCTTAATAATTTATTCTCCCTCTTCTCTCTCTCCTCTTGGTCAGAGTTGTGCGGGATAACACAACGAACTATAAGAAGTGTGCCTGTTATGGACTTGTTGTCCGGGACGTACATATTCGCGGTCCTCCTAGCATGCGTGGTGTTCCACTCTGGCGCCCAGGAGAAGAACTACACCATCCGAGAAGAAATGCCAGAAAACGTCCTGATAGGCGACTTGTTGAAAGACCTTAACTTGTCCCTGATTCCAAACAAGTCCTTGACATCTGCTATGCAGTTCAAGCTAGTGTACAAGACCGGAGATGTGCCACTGATTCGAATTGAAGAGGGTACTGGTGAGATCTTCACTACTGGCGCTCGCATTGATCGTGAGAAATTATGTGCTGGTATCCCAACGGATGAGCTTTGCTTTTATGAAGTGGAGGTTGCCATTTTGCCGGATGAAATATTTAGACTGGTTAAGATACGTTTTCTGATAGAAGATATAAATGATAATGCACCATTGTTCCCAACAACGGTTATCAACATATCAATTCCAGAGAACTCGGCTATAAACTCTAAATATACTCTCCCAGCGGCCATTGATCCTGACGCAGGAATAAACGGAGTTCAAAACTACGAGCTAATTAAGGTGCGTTTTAAAATCACTTTGTTAAAGATGTCTCATTTTTTAAAGAGTAAAACAAAATATTAATGTATTTCAAATTTTGAGTAAGCCATCACCCCAATTTTTCAAAATTTATGTAATTTAAAGCATAGTGGAGAAAATTCATCAACGCAGTTTTTTCAATTACATGAGAATTATGAATTTTCATGGTATGTATATTCATTTTCAAACAGTTGTGTTTCCATTAATCTATAAAGGGATCAGACAAGGAGGTCAGCCCTGCTACTTACAAATCAGTAGTTTGCCCAGCTTCATTCTTTTAATCTGTCCAGTCATGCTTCTGCCAAAAACTTGACATAAACAAATCATTAAGAATGAATCCAGAAATCTGACTGTCAATTCTTCCTAGTGATTACTTTAGATACAAAAATTTTATCTTGCCATTCGATATGGTGCCAAATAAATCTACTTGACAAGTGACTAGAACAATTTAATTTATTACTAGTATTTCTGAACATATATAGATAAATATTTTTCATGAGGATTTCAAGGCAAAGCAAGGTCTTTAGCATATCCTGTATCATCAAATTGAGATTAAATTTTAGTCAATGTTCTGTTAATGTTAAATATTTTCATTATTTTAACTATTATTTGAAAACAGAGTGTTCATTTGTTGTAAAGGGTAAGTAAGCCTTTTAACAAAAAAGATTCAATCAGTTGATTTGAATAACCTATCCTGGCTTGATTTAGGTCTTAGGATGGAGAAGGTAGAGAGAAGAATAGATTGAATATTTGGTATTCTTCAAAATATGTGCAGAGGGGCCACATTTATCAAGTTAATGATCAATTCTTTTTACTTACTTATATGGTATAAAAAGTAATAGATAACTCAGATTGGGGTATGTGAAATAGTACAATGCACTTGAATGATCTTGGAAAACATGTTAATGAAATAACAAATGTACATGTTTCACATAGATATGTTCAGGGGATTTTCACACTTTTATAAATATTCTGCCAAACTATGGTCTACATAATAGCTAGTGTTAAAAATATGCCCCAAAACATATAAATAAGACATTCTGATATATATCATCTGAAGGTTTTGACCTAGAGGATATATAATGTGGGAACATTGCTCAACTGATGCTGATCTATTGTAAAGATATATTTGCTAGTAAATTCATTCAGAAATGGGAGGCTACAGACCTCTTGAGCAAATTTCAGTGAAATGCAAATATGTTTGAGTATATGAAGTGAAAAGCAGAAAGAAGGATTTGGAAAGAAGGGAACCCTTCTATGCTATTGGTGGGAATGTAAATTAGTACAACCACTATGGAGAACAGTTTGGAGGTTCCTGAAAAAAACTAAAAATCAGATGATTTTTAAATGAGCACTTTGGGGTGAAGTTCCCACAATGGTATCTCCTAATCTGATGAAATGGAAAAATATTCAGGAGTCAGACAGATATGGATCACAGTTTTGTGCTTACCTCTTAGCAGACATGCTACTTTCAGCTTAATCTTTTTGACCTTTAATTTCTTCAGTCATAATATGGGGATGATAATTATCACAGGGGCAGAATTGGGAAAAATAAGCACTTAGTATGGAGTAGATATACCTGCATAGAAGATTTTTGAAGCTGCTTTAAAACACTCAACTACTTATAGAAATGTGAGGTTTATCACTTGAAATAATAAATTGAGTAGCGGAGTGGATAGTCTCTCTCTAAAGCAACATTCCACAACAGAATTTTCTGCAAGGGCGGTAGTTTTATAATCTGTGATACAACACAGTAGCCACTAGTCACACATGGCTATAGTCCTTGAAAGTACTTAGTAGCTATTGCTACTGAGGAACTAAATGCTTAATTAATTCCATTTTAATTTTAATAGCCACATGTGGTTAGTGGTTATCATATTGCAGAGCACAGCCTAAACAAATAAAAAGTTTATTTGGACAATAAAAATTAATAGGTACAATCAAAATGAGACCTTACCAAGTTTAAATTGGATATTAGCAATAGGGTCTCTTCAACTGACCATCTTGACAAATGTGTTGTTTTAAAATGTAGTGGTTTATTCAAGGAATAATTTTGTCATGTCTCCCTTAGGGAAGCTTAAGGAACTTCCAAGAAATTTGTGATTTGTCTTGAAAGCTGCTTAACGAATTCAGATAAAACAAATAAGCCTGCTGGCATAATTTTAGCTTTGTTAAAATGTGCTTTCATTTGACATTCTTTGAAAGATTGTCAGCAAATGACAAAAAGTCTCACTACAGGTTCTTAGATGAGTCTTAGAAATGCTCTAAAATCTCTTTCTGTTTTAGAACGTGTGATGAGCCTAAAGTAACTATATGATGTGCCTAAAGTACTGGGGCATTTGTATGGCCCCGTGGACAAATACTGTTTTGATTACTTGTTAAAACTAATGAGAATGGAACACAAAGCATAGCTCCAGGCATGCAGAGGGCCATGACATGGTGACTTTTACTGAATGCACTTTGACTTGCAAAAAGGCCCTGTCTTGAAAGTGGCATATATGCTATGGGAAAGGAGAGTTAAAGAAAAAGAGAGAAAAGAAGCATGTTTTGATTTATCCATAAACTTTCGTAAATTTTACAATGTGAAATAAGTAGGCCAACCATAATAATTTCTTTTAAAAGACCCTTTGTCCTGCGGAATAAGATGAGAATTTAATTAATATTAATTTGGTCTACTTTTGTTGAATAGACAAGAATAGCAAAATCACAGTTTATCCTAACTAGGCTAATATAAAATATATTTGAATAGTTCAAATAGCAAAGGGAGAGAAGGGAGAAATATAGAGAAAAATTCTAGGAAAAAAGGTCAATTTAAATATTTAAATAAATCAATTTATACAGGAAGGGGTCCTACTATTGACTATTTGATATTAATTAACTGAAATTAAAGACATTGGCAGAAAATATTTATTAAATGTTTAAAATGTATGTAGTATGAAATTTCATAAGATTTAGAATATTTATTTCTAAAACTAATATATACATATATTAATTTAGCTTACCTTTTTATGAGTTTCAGTATACCTTGGCACAAACAGGGAAAGTATTATTTCACATTTTAAATATTTGGAAAATGAGTTTCAGGGTGATATGTATTATGCTTATCATCATGTGACTGGTAAATGATAGAGGTAGGAACCAGAATGCAGCTCCTGACTCCGAATCAACAGACAGATTGTAGATGGATAGATAACCTTCAGAGCAGGATCACTGCAGATTCATGATACAAAAGGAGAAGAATGAAAGAAAGAAAAAGGGCTGGGTGCAGTGGCTCATACCTGTAATCCCAGCACTTTGGGAGGCTGAGGCAGGTGGAGGTCAGGAGTTTGAGACCAGCCCGGCCAACATAGTGAAACCCTGTCTCTACTAAAAAAATACAAAAAAAAAAAAAAAAAAAAAAAAAAAAAAATTAGCTGAACGTGGTGGCGGGAGGCTGAGGCAGGAGAATCGCTTGAATTCAGGAGGCAGAGGTTGCAGTGAGCTGAGATTGCCCCATTGCAATCCAGCCTGGGCAACAGTGAGAGAATCTGTCTCAAAAAATAAATAAAATTTAAAAAGGAAAAAGTGGAGGAATGAAGTAATTACCACGTAATTCTGCTTGTTTAAAAAATAAGTAAAAATAAAACTTATATATGTGACTTTGATGAGATTTTCAACTTTTTAATGGATCATGTTACTCTCTAAAGAAAAAAAATCATCTATAAGAGTTCTTGATGTTATTAATAGTTGCCACTTAAAAAAGAATCCAGATTTGAAACCTTCTCTTTTCTCTCTTTCAAGTAAAGTCATACTGCAATGCTAATTCCCTATATACATATAGCTATTTACATACTCACACACATCATACTACACATTGCAGTATTTGAAAGAACTGTTGGTCAGGAGTAGGAAATCACAGGATCTCTTTAACTTTCACTTTTTAATTCAGATGACTTGTTATTTATAAAGCTTTTAAAATATTGTAAGTATTTTTTGACAGGAAAGCCAACATTTTCACAAATAGAAACATCCCTCAAGCACCCAGTCTGACTCAGAATATGTATATAAACCACAGGGACTTCCTTCTTTTCTCATGGTAGGAATTCAGTGGAAATTAGTTTATATAATGATGTTACAGTTATTTTTATTTTCTACTTCAAATTTCCATCTTCCCTGGCGTATATCAACAGTCACATTTCTATACTAGCCCAGTGACAGTGTACTGATTGATTTCCTTAAGGAAGGCATGACAGTGTTTCAAAGGATGACAGTTTGTATTGACAGAACATGATGATCAACTTTTTCTCAGATTAGTGATCCTACTCAAAGCCTTCCCTTGTTTCTACCTATCCCATAAGGCATCCTCATCTTTTCCATGAATCTCAAAAGATCATTTAATCTGGGGTAGTCTTAATATAGCCAAGATTTATGGGCCCTTGTTTCCATTTTAAGAAAACATCTTCCCCATTGATCAAGAGTTGGACTGGATTTATGAAACTAAAATTAGAGTTAGTTTTTTTTGAGATCTGGGGTTAGAAAATCTAAATTGTGAAAAATCGCATCTACCACAGGATTTAGAAATCTTGATTTAAATTGCCGAGAACAAGGCATCAAATAATACATTGTGAAGACAAAGAGCAAGCAAACTTTGTTGTTCTGAAGAAATTAACATTTTTAACGTTATGTAACCATAACTTAAAGTGATGTGTAACATCAGAAGTGAGTAAAGATTCATGAATGTCAGTGCAGAGAGAATATACTATAACAATGAGTGTAACAATTTTAGAAAACTTAGTTTATTTGCCTCTAAGAGACTCAGAAGAGTTTGATTATAATGATTTCCTCATTTTTTCAAATATAAAATGAAGTTTCACTTAAAATTTCTCCATTTCAGCTTTAAGATTACTTGATTTTATACTCTCTGAATTCTGTAATTTGCATATTAATATTTTTGATCTAGTGTTAAAAAGCAAAAGTGATGACAATCAAATGCTAATGACTAT